GCGCGCTACTATCGGGCCCGCAGAACACATCAATACGCAGGCTCGATAGTAGCGCGCGCTACTATCGGGCACGCAAATCAGATTCCATGTCATTTTTCATATATTCTTTTACATGTATATGACCCAGTTTTCCCATCTGCATAATTTTGTTTCAGATTGATATTCTTTTTTATGCAGCTTCCCATTGTACTTCATATGCATAAATTCTTGATTCTTTTTTATGCATGCAACTTTACATTGCATTACATATACATGCAAATGCACAACATGTTCAGGCCTGATTGCCTGTCAACTCAGGCCCACAAACAGAAACTGAGGTCCCTGTTGTCTATAAAAAGGGGCCTCTCAAGTGTCTATTTCCCCCTCAATCAGGCAAATCCACTGATATCTAGCACACTTCAGCTACTCAATACAATATCCCCACTCCAGAGACCTTACTACCCCTCCATTCCTTACACTCAACACACTTTTCTCTGAAAAATGTCTGCAAACAACAACACCACAGATAACTCCCTCACCTCAGCCATGTTCATTGATGGTGATGAACAGTCACCCCCTCCCTCCCAACAACCGGCCCCCAGTGATGGTGAAAACCAGTCTCAGATGCCACCCCCTGCCCAGCAACAACCAGGCAATGCTACCCAGCCTGCCAACAGCCCTCAACATACTCAACCAACTCAACCCACTCACAGCAGGCCCCCCACCCCACCCTCTGCTCAGCCACCAATGAAAAGAGCCCGCACTGCTCCATCTAAACCAAAAGAAGGACAACTCATCACCTCAAAAAAAGCAGTCCCCACTGCTCAAGTGGCCATCCCTTCCACCTCAGCCATCATCAGAAGGGAGGTGGACCTTAAAAAATTACAAGCTCTGGACAAGATGTGTAAGCATCTCTTCTTCTCCCTGCTGCACTCATGGCCAGGAGCTGACATGCCTTTTCCTCTGTCCATTGACACAGACAATGATGCCCTGGCTACTTTCAATTCCACCATGAGCACCCTCTTGGACAGTGCCGCAGAAACGTTGGGTGAAAGGCCCATTGTGGAGGACGACTTGCGCCAGAGGATCCAGAGGACTCTGGCAAGGCGCGTGGCCACCTGGAAGGAGAAAATTCAAGAAGGAGTCACCAACAA